ACCTCAGATTTTTAGTGCAAGTAAAGTCGATTTTAATGACGGGTAGCGACATCTCTTCAGTTTCACACGCAACAGCTTGGTTTGTTATTCGAGTTGGTAGCGCCTACCTCTACTCAATATCCAGGATCAATCTTCACTTGAAAATTATTGGATAATACTCGATTAAGGTACTAAAATAAATCATAACAGCTGTTTATTTAGTATCTGTCTACTGTAAACAGCTGATTATTTAATATCTATTTGATGTTTATAAGATTTTCTGGTAAGATATTAGGACACTGTAAGAGGTCGGTTTTTTTACTAATATTGTTTTAATTAAAATATCTACCTACATCACGTTAAAATTAACAATAAATATTAAAAAGTCATGTTCATTAATAGCGCGATCTGAAAAAACGCAATATCACTACTCACATTTTTAGCAACTAAAAATACTCGATTTTAAGGACGGGTGGTGCCATCTGTTAAGTTACTCAGAAAATATTATTTCAAGAGAAACTACTCGGTTGAGTTGGTATTCGAGATGGTAGCGCCATCTCTATTTTATATTATTATAAGCATATTATTATAAGCAACATCCAGAATCTATAATGACTCGAAAATGATATGTTTATATTATAAATTTAGAGTAGTAGTAGTATTTGCTAGATTTAATTTTAAAAATGAGATTAGAAAGAAATTGAGTAAAATTACCTCGATTTAATAAATGAAACACTAACATATAATACTCGGTATTGAACACGAGTGGTGCCATCTCGTATTATGTTAAGATAGCAACTTCCACATTTCAAATTTAATCTGTTTTCGTGACAGTAGCGCCATCTCTAACGGGACCAACCATGAAAATGATTAATTTAGTTGAAAATTATGTAAATTCGAATACATAAATTTAAAAAAAAGTAGCCTATAGCAGTCTCATAAGTTCAAGCTATACATATACCAAATTTCATCACAATCGGTTCAGCGGTTTAGGCGTGAAGAGAAGACAAACAAACAAACAAACCCTTTCCCATTTATAATATTAATATAATATAATATTATAATAATATAATATATAATATTAGTATTAGTGTATTAGTATAGTATGGATTTGTAAGTACAAATATATCGGTTATTATGATTTTTCGCAGATATTTTTAGGTTATGTGAAAAAGGAGTAAATACAAAAGTTGTAGATCTTTTAATTACTGTGTAATTGGTCCCAATATTCATGTTGAATACACATGCCAATAGATGCTATTTTATTTTCTATACTGTCAAATAGCCTATAGTAGACAAAGAAACGAAGTAGTAGAGCAGCGCTGATGCCTTTAAAAATCGTAAAGGGTGAAAAATATTCGGAACAGGGTGAAACCCAAACCACCCACATTTATAATATTAAGTATGGATTGTATTTATTTGTATATCACATGTATATTGTGTAAATATGCAGCGTGAATGTGTATCGGATGTTCTTGAATAATTTGGCAGTATGATCCTCTCAGGATGTTGTGGCACAGGTTCACTAGCACTTGGTAATAAGGGCTCTGTTCTTTGGTAACATCGATGGCATATTAGATAGGTAGCCGAAATAGTTAAATTAAAGGCAAAATAATGCAAATAAACACACACAACAAGTAATCCGAAACGAGAATGCACTTTCCGGTATATTAAACTACTCTTTGGAATGCACGAATGCCACAGATTACTACGAATGCAAACTGCATGCACCACAACCACAGAGTAACAAGTTTTATGCCGGCCCTTCACTTGACAACAGTTTGTCCTTGTCATGTCAAGAAATGAAAAGGACAGACTGATGTCATGTTTTAAATTAGCAAATAAGAATAGCCAAGTGAAGTGCTGGCATTAGGAAGAAAGAGTGTTTTGTTTGCAGCGCTGCCATAGATTATACACATAAAATGGTATTTTTTGTCTCAAATTATTTTTAAATTTAGCTTACTTAACTGGAAGTGTCCGTCACAATCTAAATACTGATAATTATCGCAAAAAATATACTAAGAATTATCATAAATGCCAAATGGGTGTTGGTTCTTAGGCCAATTTTAACATTGTCCTTTGGTACAACAATTATAATTATCATAAGTTTGGATGATATTATCGTTACTAGGACATTGGTTGTTTAATGTTGGCAATAAGCTTAGATTTAGATTCTGTAATATATAGGATTTAAACCATGACTGTATAGAAATATAACCTAGTCAGGTCATAAATTCTGTCACATGTTTAATATAAAATAATTGAAACAAGTTTATTCATTATGTAACTTTAAAAATTTCATATACCAAAATGAACTTAACAAACCATAGATTCTTATGACAAAAATGGGTGCGTGTACTTATGTAGGCGCGTGAGAAGTTATCCTTCTTTGGCATCGTTTAAAATTAGTTTTTAATTGCATGCAAATAATTAATTACAATAAATTAATAAAAAGTCTGGAAAAGGACACAGTCAATAAAGTTTAGTTTTAATTTGAAAAAATAAATAAATAATCAAAATATTCAATTAAAATCGCTACTGAATATAATTTATTAGAACATTATGTGATTTGCACTTGTATGAAACTCAAACACGTATTCCGAATATACAAACTAGAAACATGTGGATAAATATTATAAATATGAATACCTATAACTGTTACTTTATTACAAAAAATAAAGATGTGGTTTTTGGTTCTACTACACCAATGGTCAAGAGATGGCGCTGTAGTCTCCTGAATCGCGCTTTGGTTCCGTTGTTCCAGATTAATAAATACTTTTGATATTATAAATATGAATGCCTATAACTGTTACTTTATTACAAAAAATAAAGATGTGGTTTTTGGTTCTACTACACCAATGGTCAAGAGATGGCGCTGTAGTCTCCTTAATCGCGCTTTGGTTCCGTTGTTCCAAATTAATAAATACTTTTGATAGGGCTTCACAATGCAGTCGTTAGCACCCATTTGGTCGCTTTAGCGACCAACTTCATGCTGTTAATTTTTGTGTTACAGTGATGCGCGCGCATCTTAAAATTTCACTCTTATCATTTTTTCATAACGCGCCTAAAGAAGTATAACTTCAATAAAGTTTATTCAAAATGACCTCCGTGATTTTGAATACAGGCCTTTAATCTGCGCGGCCAGTCGTCTATCGCAGCACGAACGAGGTCCATGTCAATATCGGCGGCTGCCTTAATTATGGATGTCTTGAGTGACTCCAAATTGGGATGAGGCTTTGAGCACGCCTTTTCCTCGAAGTGTTGCCATATCTTGTAATCTAACGGACTCAATTCTAGACTAGAGGAGGGCCAGTCTTCGTGCCGGATGAAGTCGATTTCACGCGCCGCCAGCCAGTCTTGTGTGCTCATCGCTCTATGAGTTGGCGCCGAATCTTGTTGAATACCCAGTGCCTGTTATTGAACATAGTATGAGAAACAGGTTCCACAAGGTTCGTCAGGACTGTATTTTAATACACAACTGCATTCGTTTTTACACCTTTCTCACAAAAATGTACCTCTGTTAAGTCCCAATAAGAAACTCCCTACCATACCATGATGCGCATGCGATAATGGTGGAAAATGACCTCGTCGTACACGCGGAATACGGTTGCTCGCTTCTTCACTACTGTGTGCGTACACCTTATCATTTTGTTTGTTGTAGCCTCTTCTACGGTAAAAATTTATTCATCCGAAAAAAGAATTTCTCGATATTTTTATCCCTCGTACCGCTTCAACAAAGCGCGGCATCTCTTCAGTCTCAGGTCCATTAGACGAGCATTCAAACGATGTACTGTTTTGCTTCGATATGCCCGAAGCCCTAAGTCTTCATTTAACACCCTTTTCACCGTGGTTCTGCTTAAGCCCATCTGAAGAGCCAACAGTTTCTGCTTATGTTTGGGATTTCTTTGAATTTGCGCCTTCACAGCTTTTATCACTGCTGGACAGGGCCGGATTTAGGATTGTGGAGGCCCCGGGCCACTTAGGCTTTGTATGCTTATTGACCCATCCAAATGTTGTTATTTCTTAAGCTGTTGTGGAGGCCCCTGGGCCACAGCCCCACCTGCCCTGCCCTAAATTCGGTCCTGGGTAAAGGTAAAAGAGCAAAAAAAAAATATCAAAGGAAAAGATGTTTACTAGTGTTTACTAGTTGGAATTTGAAAGGTTTTTTTTCCGAAGTCTCTATTGTGGGGGCCCCCCGTTTGTGGAGGCCCCGGGGATTTCGCCCCGGTTGCGCTCCCCTAAATCCGGCAGTGCTGCTGGAGTCCTAACAGACCGAGGGCGACCACTTCTTGACCTATCATCTACACTAGAGTCTTCATTGTATCGTTTGATGATACGATAACCGAATCTTTTGGTTATATTCAAAATTTTCAGTATGCCAAAAATTTGAATTGGCGCGTAACCGCAACGATGCAACACAATAACTGCAAAACGGTCTTCTTTAAGCGTCCACTCCATATTTAAAAATGAGTAAAATTCTAAAAAGAATGCATTTTTATTTTCATGAACAATTCGAAATTCGAATTCAATAAACTTTTTGTGGCCAGCATTCTAAAAGAAAAGTTTTTACTGTGTGACAACACTTATGACCTGACTGTATATAACTCTTTTCTTTCTAGTAAATAACTCTCAAATTTTCTCTTTATCTATTTAGAGTTTATATTATACTTATTCAAAAACATATAAACTTCCTTTCCAAATGCAAAGATATAGCTTTCATGTTAATTTTATTTTGGGGATGACAACTGAGATTTCCTACGTGAAATCCCACTGGTCACACGGCGTGATGTAAGTTACCGGAGGGGACAAACCTGGGGGTGACGAGCGGGAATGACCCCAATAACCCGAATAACAAGTTCGCAGTCAACAAGTACTTTCGCCATATCCTGCTTCTGGTAGTAGCAATAAAATACCGAAAAGAATATCCTCGTATATATTTTTCTCAAGATCTTCTCTTCTTGTAAACAAAGATATTAAAATAAGCAATATACGTAGCTAATATAGTTTTATTATTTGCTTGCAGATAACATTTAATCATATGGTGACCATAAGTCCGCCTGATCGAAGAGGGAATGCCATAAGTTTCGTTCAATCAGGATTGTTTCTGAGCCTTTTCCTTATGGCTTTATCCACGGTAACGGATAATAAGACTGCTCAAGATATAAATGCTTTCATTGGCATCAATTCTACTATTGCGGTAAAACAACTAAAGTTTTGTATTGATTTTGTTCCATGAACATATTTTAATGTATCTTTCTTGGGATTCCGTCAAAACGGAGCCCTTTTACTGTCCGTCCATTGTCTGTCACACAGGATGAACATCCAAACGGTTGGGACTACAGTGTTTAAATTATCACAGTAAAAATATTTACAATAATATATTTTTATTTATTAATTTATAGTCAGGCAACGTAGGCCCATAGATACATACCTTACGTTTTTAACTAAGTGGTGGTTTTCCAATTACAGAGCATAATGCGACTCAGTGGCGCACAATGCCGAATTATGCTGATGCTTAATTGGAACGTGAATTAGTTTTCATATGCACCAGCAGAGTGCGCTAAGTTCAGTGTTGAAAAAAAAAGTCAATATTTGTACCTTCATCCATATTTATATTTAATTTTTTAACACAGTTTGAATTAACTTTGATTAAAAAAAAACTATAATGAAACGAAAGCTTTAATAATTTTTCAACAATAAATAATATTACTAACGATAACATATAAATAAAACATTTCGATCAATGCCAACTTAAAGAAAAAACACTTGTTAATTTTTTGTCTCTGAGTTTGTTACGATTGCACGCATCACACGAAAGCATTACTTTTGAGAGTGCTCGATTGTGCGAAGCGTTGCTGTAGTTGAAACACTCAACGTTAAGCATTATGCCGCATAATGCGCTATAATGCTGTAATTGGAAAGCTACCACGGGCTTACACGCCACAGCCACAAAAGCCGCCACGAGAAGCTAGAACCGGCTACTAAAGTGGCTGAACCGCACGGCAGCGGCCGACTAAGGTAAGGTAGAGAGGGGTGGGGAATCGCGCGAGTGACGTGTGGCGGCGTTTTGTATCGGCGCATTAAGTGGCCGGTGCGGTCCACAAGAAGCGAGCAAGCAACGACAATTTGTAGCGTGTGGCGGCCACGCGGCGTATCGTGTGTGGCCAGTCCATATGAAACCGGCGTTTTGTGGTTGTGGTCGGTGGCCTGTGTCACGGCGACACTAAGGGAGCACAAAAAAATTACCTAACCCGTCAAGTGGGGTACCGTCACAGAACACTCTATGTTCTGTGGGTACCGTGGTGTAGATGGCTACTTCTCCAAACGAAAGAAAATAGCGTCTGCTTAGATTTCTCCAAGGTGTTTGGTTTCTTATAATAAATTTGTAATTTAAAATATTGTTTATTGAAGTTTAACATGCAGCATACCTTGGACATATCCATAATCGAGCCTAACTTTATTATAATTACATTGAAAAATCACAAACTACTAAAAATTTATCACTCTGGTGTGTCCTGATACCAGTTTTGACGAATTAATGATAAATAACTTTTTTTCTCCCTAATTCATCCATAGGGAAGGCCTATGCCCCAGCAGTGGGGACATTAATAGGCTGATGATGATGATGAACTTTTTTCTATTACCAAAATTTTAATGAAAAGAAAAGTGTGTATTAATTTAATAAACAACGTTGTTTAAATGAATTACATTACTTTCATTTAAATGCTAATTAGTTTGGTGTCCGTACCAACAAATAGAAAGAAGTGTCCGACGTTTCTTGTTGGTTACTTTGGAAAGACGTGAAATAAAAAAGCCGAGTAAAAGACGCAGCCCCAGTTCGACGCAGCTCCGCCCCCCCCCCCCCCCCCCGCTAGCTGTTCGGTATGCGCTGAGTTTCTGCGTTTTCGATATACAAAGGTAAGAAGATGATCAATCTGGTTTTGGTTTTCAAAATTATTGATTGCTATGGTACATTTTTATAAATTATAAACTAAGTTGGCATGTAAATTGATTGATGAAAGTGTTTGTATTGAGAATGCTGAAATAATGTAAAACTATGGAATTCCTAGTGCTATATTACACATAATCTTTGCTTTTTTTGACTGCTATGGCTTTGATCGCTCTGGATTGAGTGGCCATAGCGATCAATAATTTTAGAAACGGGTCTGAGCTGTCCCCTTTTTTGGGCACCGGTTGCACGTTAGCGTCCCTCCAATCCTCCGGCACACGGCCCAAAGAGTACGAGAGTCTGTACAAGCACGTGAACACGGGAGAAAACTCCGCTGCACATTTTAAGCACTACTGCTGGGATGACATCGGATCCACTAGCTTTCCAGACGACGTCGAGTGATTGCAATTCGGCACGTATCTTACATACCATATATATCATACTTACATTGCCTGATTTTAATATGATGTATCGTAGTGCCACAATGAGACAATGTCGGTGGCAGTGCATAGCCATCATCGATTCAATGAGCTTTGCCAGTAAATCGGATTTTTCTCGGGGTTTATGAGCTACTGAGCCGTCTGGACATCTCAGAGGTAGCGGCGATGGCTGGCAAAAGTTATTCTGCACGGCCTTGGCCAAACGGCAATAACCACAGAAGCCCGTAGGATGCGTTGTCAGTTCGTGGCCAATATGTGCAACGCGCCGAGGCATCCGCTCTAATGTAAGCCTTCTTGCAGGACCTGAAAGCACTATTGTAGGCTGTTTTTAATGAATCGACTCCGGAATATCTAAGAGTGCGACCTCTGACCCAAGCGTAATATGCCACCTGCTTACGCGAAACAGTTACAGCACAATCGCGATGAACCAGCGGTTATGTGTGCGCGAACTGATACGATCAGAATGAGGAATAAAGTATATACCTAGTATTCCATACTTATTACAATCTCTTCTGTAATGGAAATGGCGCTGGCCGATAGATCCCTGACACTGAAGTAGGGTTGCTTTCTGCCAGATCCGGCGTTTGACCACCGCTGGACAGATATCAGGCAATGATCCGGTGAGCTCCGTGGAGTCGTTAGAAAAAGGTCCATAAAAAGCGCTTGACTCGGAATATCTGGGAACCTGGTAGGCTGATCAACCAGTTGCTTCAAATCATGCTTGAGCATAGGTCCTTGCATAGTCAGTTTTGGAGGAACCTTACCACAAACTGTGGTGAGCATTAAAATCTCCCCAAAAACCCAATTCTGCATTTAGAAATTGCTCCTGCGCGTCATATGTTACCCGACTAAGGCGTTCGAAAAGTCGAGTTGACTCAATGTCACCCTTTTGGGATCTGTAGAGGCACACGTAGATTCTAGCTAATGGACCAGAGTCCACGTGAACCCCTTACATGGATAAGGAGGGATCTTCAACCTAAACATCCAGGCATACACCGGCTTTCGCTTTGAAGGACTCTTCAAGCACGTAGTCAGAATAATTTAGGGAGCCTGTGGCAGCGGGCGAAAGTATTTGGGTCTCTGTCAGAAACAACAATGCTAGCGGTGTTGTGTCAAGATAGTGGTGGACAGCAGAGAGTAGAGGTTTGGGTGGAGATAGCTTACATTGCAGAACTTGAACTCAACCATGTCTGAACTTTGTTTTTGCAGCTGCTATTGCTAAGGATAAAGAGACGTAAAACGAATGGACGTTGTCGCGACAAAACCGGGCAAATTAGCGAGGCTTGTTTCCCTGAGAGACTTTCTAAAGAGGAGATGCATCTATCGGCCGGACGGAAAGGCATGATGGGGCAGCCTCGCGAACTGGTTAAGAATGCTCGAGCCCTGTACTGTGCCCCGGGCAGCTAGTTGGTCAGCCGTTTCTGCGGGTCTCCCTGACCAGCGGATCGATGCAATCCTCTCCGTATCGGTTCGAAGGATGTCTCCACTGGACCGAGTCTGTCGCGGCCGCACCCACTCAAGCTCTGGTTGTACGCTGGCTAACCCCGAAACCCGCTCAAGGAGCACTTCACGAGTTTTACAGCATGCACACGGTGGTAACTAACTAGGCGGGCGTTAAGCGCCCTACCACCAGTAGAGCGGATGGAAGCTCCGAGTTCCCATAGGCCGTATACAGAAATGAAGCTGGAATGCGACCAGCGCTTATCAGCGCTGGTCTTTACTGGTAACAGTTACGTAAAGGAAGCAGATTGAAGCGTAGTTGTTCATTAATTTCAAAGAGCGGTGCCAGCGCTGACCAGAGCGTGTCGGCAGTTGTCGGCGACGTTCGGTTCTTATCGACGCTAGTCCTTAGAAATGCCTGCGCCGGTTACCAGTAAGGACCTGCGCTGACAAGCGCTGGTCGGCTTCCAGCTTTCTTTCTGTATACGGCCTGAGGCGCTGGTTACGTCACCCACGGGAAAAGAAAAGGGGCAGTGAATAGTATTCTTTCTCCGTCCCTGCACGAATATAATATATTTTAACTAATATATATATAATATAATTCTTATTCGTTCAATAACAAAATATTATTTAAATATATTGTTTTACTCTAATTTATAGTATTATTCAATTGCTCTGGCATCATTTATTGATCGCTCTGGTCACAATAATTTCAAACATATATATATATATCTCATAAACCATTTACAGAAAATGAGAGACAATAAGAAAAAATACATTCTCATTCATATTATTTGCAAAAATAAGTAAAACCTCAAATTATTAATAAACAAAAGCACCAGAGCGATCAACAGAATAACGTTATTTTGGAGGAGTAGCCAGATAAATAGTGTATTTTTAAAATATAGCAAAACAAAGGAATGGAATGGTACAACAGCTTTTTTTACAATATTTTAACTTCTCATTGATTTATTGTAAGACTGAAATCATAGTATTTTTATTACGTATGTATTATTACTATTTCGTTGTGTTGTGTTGAGTTCGTTGAATCTCCATCGATTTTCATGAAAATTGGCGAGTAGGTGGGGGATACCTTAAGAAACAAAAGTTACATAGTGCCAACTTGCGCTTTTGCCCTGGGGGTAGATGCCACCCCTTCCCGGGGGTGAAAATTATTTTAATAAAAATAACTCCTCAAATCGATAGAAAAACAAATTCTAAGCAAAATTTGTTACATAAGGTTTGTGGATTAAATCAATACTTTCTGAATTATTAAAGATCAAAGATTGTGATTTTTCGTGATAAAAATACATGTTTTAAAGCGGTTTTTCATAAATAACACAAAAACTATCAGTTTTTACAAAAAATGTATTATTATCAATATTGAAGCTAATAAAAAAACAAACAAACTCCTACTTTGAAAAACCTTCTAATATTAAGTCAAAGTGAGCTATAGGTAGTTCTATGTATATTTTTTCGGCGAGTACCTAAATCTATGTATTCAAACCTAAATAACGGGAAACCGATGCATTTTATGACAAATACTTCCTGAACTTTTTTGTAAGTCCTCATGAGTATTGTTAAAAGTTAATAGCATCAAAATTGAGCAAGTTATGATAAAAATAAGATGACACTTTCGATTTTTTATTGGAAAAAAACGAAAAATAATACCTTCACCATTTCCACAAAAATTCAACAATATGGTTATCCCTAAAGGACTTTCGTTTTTTTAGCATAAGTGATGACCTCAAAAATTTTTAGAATTTAGAATGCTTAGTTTTTAAAAGGTAAAGGGTTAAAGGCTCCCAGTTACATGGTTCTCGCAGTAAAAGTTAGGCTTTCAACATCTCTATCTCGGTTATTTTTCATCCTATAAAAATAAAATAAAAACCAAAATGTTTGTTAAAAATAGAACTCAAATTTCGTTTTTTAAAACATGATTTTACGATTATCCAATATTTTTGAAGTTATTTTCGAAAGAAAATGGAATTTACGAAAATATGAAAAATTTCGATTTTATGAAATCATACTTTTTTTGAAAAATAAGCGCTCTAAACCGGGCAAAATTTTTGAGGTCATCACTTATGCTAAAAGAAAGAAAGTCATAACCATAAATTTGAATTGTTCTGGAAATGGTTTTGTTTTCAAAGTAGGAGTTTGTTTGTTTTTTTATTAGCTTCAATATTGATAATAATACATTTTTTGTAAAAACTCATAGTTTTTGAGTTATTTATGAAAACCGCTTTAAAACATGTATTTTTATCACGAAATATCACACTCTTTGATCTTTAATAACTCAGATAGTATTGATTTAATCCACAAACCTTATATAACAAATTTCGCTTAGAATTTGTCTTTCTATCGTGTTCTGGAGTTGTTTTTATTAAAATATTTTTCACCCCCGGGAAGGGGTGGCATCTACCCTCAGGGCAAAAGCGCAAGTTGGCACTATGTCACTTTTGTTTCTTATGGTATCTCCCACCTACTCACCAATTTTCATGAAAATCGATAGAGGTTCAACGAAATCAGAGGTTGTAACTGATTTTTGCCTTCATTGACTGGGCTAATGATACGAAACCCTAAATATGCGCAAATCGACACCCACTTGTTTAGTTTTTTTTACAGTCAGCTTCTTCAAGCTATTCTAATTCCTTCTTAATTTTAAGGAATAGGGTTTAAATCTTTATTCGTGATGTTGTTTATAAAGTATAATTATTATAACGAATAAGTAAGTATAGGTACTTAGACAGTACATTCAGTGTTTAAGAGCACCATTAACGTTCATGCACATTACCGCTATAAATTTTCATAATTTTCCAGCAGGATAAAAAAGATTTAATAACTGATATCATAGCGACTTTCCCAGAGTCCAATGCCGACTTACGATGGCGTTGGTCGTCCAGACTGGTGCTCAAGTCTGATATAGGAAGCCATATAATCAACAATAGTGTGATAAAATCATTAAATTTGCAAGTCAACCATTGTGATGGTACCGAATCGCCAGAAGAGTTGGCAAAGACTCTAAACCGTATGGTAAGTAAAATGTATCAACGCACTGACAATGCCAATACCTACTGCAAATCTATACCTACCTGAGATACCTACTTACCCAACCCACTGTATCAATAGAACTTTTCATCACGGAGCAATTTTCTTTTTTCGTGATTATATTATTGTATTATGTATGTATTATGCTTAAAAGGTATATTCAAGGTAATTTGCATTATAAGTCTCACAATGTAGGTATGCTTGCATGCATGTTTTAGTTCATTATTTGAAGTGAAAGGCGGCAACTCACCGTTGTTTTTTCATTTCGCAGGTGTCGTTAACTTTCAAACTTCTAACGAATAGGATAGGAAGCTTGCCACTTACCATGTATCTCTTAAAATTGATAATAATAGATCGATATCTACAAATTTATGAAATTAAATTTATTCCGTTAGGTGGAAGAGGATTCAGGGGGTGCAATCCACGATACTTTTGAAGCGGATGAATTTGAGGATGGTTTCCAAGCCGTGGCTATAACAATGTTATATTTCCGGGCGCGTTGGCGGTCCGCACCTACAGTTCTCAACGGCACGAGACTTTTCCGGGATGCAGATGGAACTCCACCGAGAACGGTCCCCATGATCCGAATCAATGACGTCATGCGGTATGCCAACATACAGGATTGGGGATGCCAGGTAACTACATTTTGATTTAAATAAAACTAGTTTTATTTAATGAGTGATGTGCGTGAAAACCTAAGAAACAAATACATTTTGAATTCTTTAATTGAACTGTACAACGGGTTCAAATGAAAGGCCCGGTGACTAAGTGGTACTTAACTAATCTTTGTCAGTATACAGAGACTGAGCTTGTAAGAAAGTCGCTTACATAAGCCAATCTTTTGATGAGTGACAATATGACAATTCATGCTAATACAGCATATAACCGTTTGATCCCATACTGAAGTCTATAGATAGCGCTTAGATCAAATGAAAAAAAATATATCTGTAGATGCAAATGCAAATGCCGATAATCATACTTAAAGGGTTACATGATTATTCTAGTGGGAATATGAATATAAAAGGCAGATGTCGTAAATAACACACCAACACTGTTTAATGTTTTATTGATTACGAAAAGAAACTTATTACCATGTCGCTATCGCTACATCTTCAAACTTCAATTGTCATGAAATATGTATGTAGTCTACACATATAGTCACTTCAACTGTGTGACATATACTCACACAGTTGAAGTGACTTTCGATTATCTGCAATTTCAATATTCAAAATGTAATGAGACAAACATTCTACGTACGTTCATTAGCTGTTACACCATTTGATATATCCATTAAATGCCGTTATATACTTCTTTAATTAGCCGATGCAAATGCGACGAGTCATTTGGAAGCTACATATTATGTGCTGCCGCCTCCCTTAAATAAAAATACTTATGCTTATAATGTTTAACATTTCAAGACAAATAAATTTTATCTTAATCCATATACCTTTATGTCTTCTCTTCAATTCAATGAATATACTACCTATGTAAGTAAACGTTAAAACACATTGTTGCGTACATTTATTTAGCTTATCAATCTTAAATTATGCATAAAAATATAGTACATATAGTAGGTATATAGTAAATATTCATATTTCGAGTATTGTTGAAAAATTAACCTAACCTAAGTATTCACCATTAATTGCTCTTTCTAAGAGAATACTGATTTAATTTCATTTTTTATAAAATATCTCGCCTTTGTAATTAACTAATAAAAATTGAGAGAAACCGCTAGAATTATAATCATCATTCACGACATTATTAAAAAAAAACAAGTCTTATCTAAGCTGAGGACATCAGGTAATTAAATCATTAGAAATATGAATACTGTACGTACATAGGTCATCAAAAATATAATTCCTCAAACACTACAATACTATGCAACTATTCATAGCTAAGTTAGACTAAAGTTTTAGAATAAATTAAGAGTCTTGAGGAATGTAAACGCCAAGTAATATCACATATATAAGAACAAATATTATGAACACGATACTATTAACAATGTTGGCGAACATTATCCAATCAGAACTTTTACGGGAACTGTCTTCATTAACATCGTTTTCAGTCAAAGTCTTTTTATCGCTGGTGTCACTAGGATCGAACTCTGTAAATACGACGTACTTGCCTGGACCACTAGTAACAAGTCGTGTTAACGACACCATCCACAACGGTGCTGGCTCCAAACGTTTTCGCAAAGACGACAGCAACAAAGTCAGCAATATCGACATCAAACACAGGATCATCGAATCTCTTATAAACAACAGAATAACGGGTGTGTCAGCGCTATGCTTAGGTATATTATATCCTATTTCAGTGATAAAAACAAAATGTCCAAACAAAGAAAAGCATTGCAAAGAAAGTCGGCTAATATCTTTAACGTCCAATAATAAAGAAACAGTTGTCATTATCACAATCACTATTGATGGCACAACGATGATAGCGGCAGGACCTGCTGACTCTCTTTTTAAAACAAACACGTATTTGAGCATCGGATAAGTAACATTTGGACAGCATTTGTAGTGTCCTGGAAGTCGATCGGGTACTACGTTCAGTAATTTCCAGCCGGGTCCGTTTTGATAATCGTCTGTTATTACAGGTCGGGATTTAAAGAACGTGAAATTCACTTGTTCGCCCGTGTGCATCCAGGACCCAAAATACATGGTACAGTTTTGTTTATCATACGGCCAATATTTCAAGGAGGTGCGGCAGATTCCTGAATGAGGAACATGCGGGACACAGGTCACAGTTCCATTATTGTTGAGTAAACAAGTGGTGTAGATATCCTCCGCTTGATAAACTGCCGCATCCGCGTTGAAGAGCGACATCTTCGGTGTCCAAATGAGGTGACTCTCGATCTGCATCTCTGTGATGTTACCATATTTGCTGGGATCCCAGGATAGGTATTCGTCTTTCCATTTCATCGCCACCCAGCTGTGGACACTGAATGTTTCTTCTAATGCATCGAAACTTATATACTTTATGGCAAAGCGAACTGAAATATTGACAGCGCTTCGGTGATCTTTGACTGGACGGAAGGTATAATCGTAAGCGCAAAATAAATCATTGTGGAGTAGTGCTTCGGCGTGCTCAGCTGCTTTTCGGTCGTCAGGACAATCGTTTCCACTAATATAATGGAAACAATAGAAGAGTGAGAGCACTGTGAGTGTATGTGCGAACATGGTGTCTGGCAAAATGAATGGTTTAACGAGGTATTGTCTGTTTTGTAAATTCGATACCTCTTTGAAACCGCCCCCTGCGATAATAGTGATATTCTCCATTAGCAGGGCGAACAATGATAAATAATTTAACATTGTTCGCCAAGATAAATAAATGATAACTTAATAGGTATATTCTAAACACATAATTATAATAATTGATTGCCATAATTATAATTATGTGTTTACAATAGATAAAGTTATCATTTATTTCTAATCGTGTTAGAAACAGTGTTAAGGATAGTAGTAGCGTTGAAAATGTAAGAAAAACTATTTTAATTTTGTAATAAAATCAGAACCCTGAATTTCCTTTAAGAACTTGATATTTGATTAGGAAATACCAAAATTACGCAATAGAATAGGTGACTTCTGTCTATAAGGTGCCTACCTAGTTGCTCAACTCATCATCTTCATAACACGCAAACACGAGAAGGAGCTTATTATGTATGAATTCTTAACTTAAATTCTATAAATTAACCGTGATATTTTCAGGCTATAGAGATATCGTACGCCACACCGGGGCTGAGCTTGTTAATCCTGGTACCAGATGGGACTTCCTTGAGGGACGTGGCGCACCAGCTGACACTCACCAACTTAACGAAAATTGTCGATCGAATGGAGCCGATACGTATAGGGGTATCTATGCCGCTCTATACGTTGCGTATGACGTTACTGTTGCCATCTAAACTTCAGAGTGTACGTAGGTATTTATTTGTAGTTGTAAACATAATATCTCGGGAAACTAACGGCGCGACTGGAGAGGGCAGATATAGAACTGGTTTTATTTCTAACTCATTTCCTCTTCAAGCTATGCTGGAACGCACTGCCTCCTAATATTCAAGATGCTCCGAATAAAAAACCTGTTTAACGCTTAGTACGTCATCATACTTACAAATTAAGATTTGTATGTGGTGTTACCTATGTATGTAAATATTTATTATTATTTATGCAGCTATTAATGTTCCCACTGCTGGGGTACAGGCCTTCCCTATGGAGATTGGGCCATGGCAAACCACGCGGGCTCAATGGATTGGCGGGTGCTAACGACTGCAGATGCAGCCCGGACCAACGGTTTAACGTGCCTTCCGAAGCACTGAGGAACTCGAGATAGCAGATTTTTAGCCACCCATCCAATGACCGACCACTGCGAAAGTTGCTTAACTTCAACGATCGCAGCCGAACGCGTTAACCACCCGCGCCATTGAGCTCCTCTTAGTAACTATACTCCTCCGAAACGGCTTGACCGACTTTTATGAAATTTTATATGCATATTCAGTAGGTCTGAGAATCGGTTACTATCTATTTTTCATACCCCTAAGTGATAAGGGTTGTCCACCCTTAACATATTTGTTTGTTAAGGACATTTTTTTTTTATAATGTGGCATTAAAAAATACCTATAACCCTAAATTTTCACCCTATCACCAACACCTATTTTTTATCTGGGTCAGCAAGCGATTTAAAAAAATAGCATTAACATTCCACATAACAAAAAACGAGCATGTGTGCAGTTCACAAGCGATAGAAGTGTGCATGCTTCAAATATGTGAACAAATATAAGTTCTACATGTCTAGTTAGAGTCTGTGCGGAAATAGAATGAGATTTAGATTGGAGGGCGCTGTAGTGCTTTTCTACCGTATTTGTAAGTGTACAAAACACCGCAAGAAATCACAACAACAAACAAATCCGTATCAATACAAAACTTTGACGTTTTACAGATTGCTGGGTTTTGATTGCCATATAAAAATCTTAATGTTACTTCCGTTTTTCGCCACGCCTTTCATAAGACGTAGACAATGTCAAAAGTGATTGATTGAATAAGTCAGAAGACAGACAGCTAAAACCATACAGATCGAACACTTTTGTCTTACGTGCATGTAATTCATTTAATAAAATACCCCACGATATTGACCTGTTTTGTTCCTTCGGTTAGAAAACTTATTAGCGACCAATTCTTTTCCTCGTGAATAATTAGTTGTCGGCCAACACATAGGTAGTTTAAATCTACTGCAATAAACTTCAAAGCTCAATTGATAATATTTTATTGTTTTGTTATTATTATGTAACATTTTAAAGACTATGTAACGAACTTAAATACCTATTTGTGAACATTTATCAATAGCATCGTTTAATTTTGAATAGATAAGGTTAATATTTGTCTGTTAATCTTCCAACAAATAAATAAATAAATAACACTACCTCTGACTGATAAGTTAAGCCAGAATCAGCTTTTGACTTCACATATATGGTATTGCAAATGAAAGTAAGATGGCGCTTACATCGATACTATTTAACTCATTTGCAGATTTTAATTTATTCACTATGAAACAACGTAGCAGATGTTATCTTTCTACGAAAGGTTTTTTTGATGTGTCACATCTTTCCTCACGCTTTCCTGTAATTTGTGGGAGTGATTTCGTGAAATGGGACGGAAGTGTGTAACCTTCCTGTCGCGAAAGCGCGCTCTATTTGATTTGTTTTAGAATGTTCAAATGGCTTATTCCTTTTGTAGTAGGTTTTATTTCTTTTTTTACTAATAGGTATAAGGTGAGGTTTCAAATGTTACACATCATACACGACTATTGTAAGGCTCGCTCGTTTTTTTTCCAACAACTCACTAACGGTCTCTAGTTTTCATCAGCTGTTTTTGACTTACACTAACAAAGCAGTAGGTACAACAAATAAAGGTTAAATGGAGCACAATAAAATTTATCCGTGGTCAGTGCCGTGGTTCAAATCTCCATGTCACCATTTTTTTTATTTCTTTTCATATTATTTTTATTTCTTAGGTTTTATTTATTTTTTCTTGAAATATTTATTTATTCACAAAAAATACTTCAAAAGTAAATAAAGCATGCATCACTTTGCTTTCGATTGTCGCGTTGTTGCTAATTCACAAAAAAGCCATCAGTACGTCCACATATATTTACTTGCCTTTTTAACTTTCTATTTCATATATTATATAGATTTATACGTTTGTCAAAACGAAGATAAACATCGCTTCATAAAAAATATAAATAAAGGTAGAGCTGTACTAATAAACTATCTACCTACAATACTTAACTATTCAACTTAAATAATGTTCCAAAAATGTATATAGCCCTTTTATTTCGCAGGCATAACCTCTATTTACAGACTTTGGCGCCCTTGAGGTGCACACCTAGCCTATCGCAAGTCTCACGGGTGCGAAACGGAGAAGCCGTTGTTAAGCAGTCCACACGGCTTACTAGCGCTACGGCATACTATCCGCTAAAAAATCATGCGAATACGCTGTTAAGTGCGGAACCGCGAAATCCCCGTCTCATCGTCTTCAACAGCCTCCGGCCTAGCCGGGGGCTCCACGGCAGGGATCATCAGGGGTATTTCGATTGATCCCTCTGCTTCCAAGTTCCAATGTGCTAAGGATTGTTTTTAGTTATAATAGCATTTAGTTACATATAAAATGCCAGGTTTGGCCGTTTTTTCGTGCACTGCCAGCACTATAAGCATTTTCTACTGTTACATGTAAAACACACAAAATACTTTTTTTTACAGATGGGTATGCACAGTTTATTTAACTGGTCCGATGGCACGCAGAAGGACTTGCGGTTATCCCATGCTATTCAGCGTATTATGTTTTGGGCGGAGGCTGGCCGCAATGCCTTTAAAGATGATGGTATGTTGTAAAATTATGCATAAAACTGATAGATACTGAATTTTTGGGCAAAATGTAAGTGCAGACTTAGGAAAGTTTCTTTCACAAGTTACAATCAAGTCACAGTCTCACAGTGTTACCGACAGGGAATTAAGTCAAGTTACCGAGTCTTTACTGAGGGCGATGATTGCCCAATAAGAAGAGAAAAGTATTTTTTTCATCATAGTTTTTTTTCGTATCATCCCACTTAAAGTTAAATGTAAAAGGATAACAGTTGCGAAGATAGGTGATATAGTAGATATAACATGCTACATCTTGCCGGCTGAACACATCTGTACCGATAGTTCCGGCTGCATTTGCAGTATTTGGCACTCAATCCGCATTGGGCCCGTGTCGTGACCGGGTGACATATTATTTATGACGTAACGGTCGTAATGGAGGTTAAGAGAAGAAGAACGATCGCTGTAAAAAATAGTGTCCCAGAAATATGGACAAAATAAGTGAGGCGCTGCGATCGCTATGTTGTCTCAATAAAAGCGGGCTGTTGTGCGCTAATTTGAAATGACCAATGCCGCGAATAAAATTTGTACAATATTCAACTAACTTCATCTACTTGTACTCATAAACAGCTACCTTCACAGATACTACTTACCGATGGCAGCGCGGCTGGTGGCTGAAAAATGAACTATAAATTTTTCAGCCACCAGCCGCGGGACAGGCTAATGCTTTAGCACGTAGCGATCGTTCTCTTTCTCTCTAACCTCCATGACCGTTACGCTCATGACGTTCTCCATAAGTATTAAATAAATGTTTCATGTAAAACGCCTGTGACCCCATTATAGTACAGTCAAACTGTCGAAAAAAAAATCGTTTCAGTGAAAAAAAACCTAAAGGGTAAGTCTTGTTTTTTCTGTTGCCAAATGATTGAAAAAAATAACAAATAAAATAATAAAAAAATAGTAAAACGTACATTGAAATGTGCATGCACTGCAAATGTGTACTTGAACTGCCCAAAACCGCTCTATCGGATTTTTCATACCTGCGCAATTTATAACTTGAAAACGGTAAGTAATACAAAAAAATTGTTTATATAAAAGTTGTTGGTAATTATGTACGGAACAACTTTTCCATTTAAAGTTTTCCATTTAAATGTTATTTTCAGGATGAAAAAGTGAAAAAACACTTTTTTTGAGTCTTCAGCGCCACCTACAATGCGCATATTTTGTTATACGAGATTGCAACAATGACATAAATTCTCAACGCCCTCTACAATTATGGTCGAAAAAAAAGTTTCTAAAATGCATACAAAAGAAGAAAAATGCGTTTCAAAAAATTTTTGAGGGTTGTTTTGAGTTTTTTAAAAAACGCCTACGAGTTGAACATGCCCATCGCCAAGGTGGCTTACTGACGTCATTTAGCAACAGAAAAAATAAAACTTACCCTTTAGGTTTTTTTTCCACTCAACCTACAGATTGACTGTATTATTAGTAGGACGTGACGTGAGAAGGTTGATAAAAGACAAAATATGATTATGTTACAGGTATAGAATGGGACTCGACACCAGAATTGGAGTTGGTTGTTGATCGACCATACCTATTCTTCGTGCGGTGGCACAACATAACGCTTATGAACGGAAATTTTGTTCTCTAGTCTAGGGTTGGGCAGAACAGACACGCCAATCAATGAACGTTATCCCGCGCACGATAGAATTATTTAACTCTTTTATTTTTTTATAACCTTGATGATACATTCTGTGATTTTATCATATTTTTTATGCATTTAATTGGTAGACTAGCTTGCACTCGAAACTGCGTGCGTGCGTGATAAACTAGTTTTTTGAGAATAACACAGGAACCTAACATTTTTCCGGGATACAAAATATCCTAAGTATATAGGATATATTTTCAATATCAAAACAAAAAAATATATTTGAAACCGGTTTCGAAAACAGAAAAATGATTTTTTTTTTACGAAACTGGTTTCGAAAAATAGTTTCGAAAACCGCCAAAGGGGATTTTTCTTAGCACGAACCAATATCGAATTCGAATAGTATGCGAGTGTGAAATGTCAATGTCAAATTTTGTATAGAAATTTAGACAGTGCACATTTGATAACGACATTTCGTACTTGCAAACGATACGAATTCGATATTGGTTCGTGCTAAGGGTACTGTACCCTTAGCACGTTACATTATCGAATTCGAATTTGTACTGATTTTTAGCTCTCGTTTCGTTCTCGTTCTCGGTATTGGTTCGTGCTACGAAAAATCTCCTTTGGCGGTTTTCGAAACCAGTTTCGAGAAAATATAAATTATTCTTTATTTGGCAGCAGTTTCGAAAACAGATTTTTTTTTCGTTTTCGTAACAGGTTGCCAAATAAGAAAAATGTATGTGTTCTTCTTCAAATCTGTTTTTGAAAAAAAAGACAACGTATAAGGACGGCATTGTCAAAAAGCCGATGAAATTGGATAGGTACTACAACCAAAAAACTAAATAAATGAATCATTAGGAAGTAAAAGAAAGGTATTTATGGCCAATTTTATTAATTATTGCAATGGTTAATACTGTACGCATTTACCTGAAGTTGTTTAAACTTAATATCTTTCTGATACTGTTACACATTTTTCTTATTTGGAAACCGGTTTCAAAACAGGAATTTTAATTATTTTCTCGAAACTGGTTTCGAAACAAAGTTTCGAAAACGGCTGATGGGGAAAAAAATATTTTTACTTAAAAAAGTGTGCCTTTGTATCTACTTTATATACAGTCCTACTTATAAATGTAAAAGTGTTTATGGCTTGTTTTGATTCTTACTCTTTCACGCAAAAACGGCTGAACAAATTCGGATGAATTTTGGTATGTTAGCATAATTTACTTTATTATGTCTATTTCATGCATGATAATTAATGTCTAAGTAGTCGTATATCAAATATTAAAGATTCACTGCACTTCCGGCAAGATAATTCTGAGTTTAGCATTTCCTGTGAAAATAATTAAATAGTTTACCTGATATTCTTAATATAATAATATATGTAAAATCTAAAATAATGGTAAATAAAATATTGTACTTTTAAATGTTAATGATTTGTACTGATTTTCTTTGTTTGTAACTTATTGTCTTTTGGCGCGTTTTGGCACTTCCGGTCTACGGAGAGTGCCAATAACGCAAGATGGCGAGGCATTCAGTGTTCATCAGTCGTGTAGTGAATAGCTTGGAAACTGTTAATATCAAGTGTAAAATTGTGTACCGAAGATTAAGAGTTAAATAAAGTGTTTAAATGCAGTTGGTTGTTTGAAATTTATACTGACGACAATAGTTCAGAAGTGGGATCGAAGAGAATACAGAAAATTTTCTTCCACGTAAGTACTGCATACTGAACGCGAAATCTATTTTGCTAAATGATTAAGTGTGTTATTCATTTCTTGCTTTCTTTAATTGTTTATTTTTATAAATTGATTTTGTCAGCATTTTTTTTCTCTCTTTGATTAAAAATAGTTAAATAGTGAGCATTATTGAACAGTGTTGTTAAAACTGTTTCGTGATTTTATGTGTTATAGATAGGTACTTATGACAAAGTGACATAATAATCAGTGTTGTTAATGATAAACTATTGGTTCGACTCAATATTAAGATGAGCTTATTTTGAAGAAAATAGTCATAATTAAAAACAAAAGGGGTTTTGAATAATTTTATTCTAATTGGTCGTTCGTTGTTTTGTATGTTCGTATGTTCTGGTCAAATCTTGCAATGGAATTTTAAAGCAGTTATACTCAACCGATTGAAATAAAATTATGCATACGCATTGAATTTGGAATTTGATCTCATTTTGAATTCAAAATGGCGGTCAGCTAGAAATGGCGGACTAGTTATTTTTGTGTACTCGTGTGAAATGGGTATCTAATGAAAGGATTAGTTGAGGAGAATATGAATAAATTACCATCGGTGTTGAATTACCTTCACTTAGAGAATTTTAATAAAATATTATTTTTATCACATGAAAATATATTTATTACGTATTGAATTAAGAATAAAATGATCACAGTTCTTTTTTTTGGCACCTACTTTGTTTTTTGATTGACTTAGGTGTATAATTATTATGTTCGCTTAAACTTAACTATTCTAAATTACTAATGTTTAGTAAATGAGTAACAAATTTATACGACACCTTACCAGGTACAAATTTCTTAAACATGAACTTGTAGGTATATTTCTTTTTTTTCTTTCACAAGCCAATTTATGGTCTCTTGGGGAGACAACTCCTCATTTCTACTTCATTCTAATGGTTATTTAATCGAAAATATATACAATATGCTACAGATTTATGAATGGATTCTAAGCTTTACTTTTATCTGCGAGTTTCAGGATATGGATGAAATAAGCAATGATAATGCTCGAGGTCAAGAGCTGACACGTGATAAAACCCGAGGTCAAGGGTCATATCTGGAAGATGCCCGAAGTCAAGGGTCAAACCAGGAGGATGCCCAAGGTCAAGGGTTAAACCTGGAGGATACTCAAGGTCAAGGCTTAAGCCGGGAGGATACCCGAGGTCAAGGGTCAAACCGGGAAGATACCCGAGGTCAAGGGTCAACACGGGAGGATGCCCGAGGTCAAGGGTCAAACCGAAATGATGCCCGAGGTCAAGGGCTAGGAATGGTGAATGCCCGTGGTAAAGGGTTAAGGAATTATCAAGGTCATGAAAGTAAGGAAGAACAGCGTTACTTTTACGCCAACTCCGATTGTCAAAGACCTGGGACATCGAGGTGCAGTAGAGGTAATCCTAGCGTTAGTCCTATTTTAGGAGTCACAGGTAGATACTATCCGAATGAATCTGATGTCGAAAGTGAACATGAGCAAAGGAGATTGAGAAAGAAAAGAAGGCGCCGGCTACGTAGATGCTCGAGCACGTCATCGGATTCATCGGGTAAGTCCATCAAAGCTCATTCAAAGTCAAAAAAGGTTAAAACTTGTGATAGTCATACTAATCAAGTCTTAGACAAGTTACTTTCTATTATCCAAAACACTAAAGATTTAGATAAACCAAAACTGTCATTCAATAATTATCATAGTGTCATACCTGAGTTTGATCCTATGACTAAAGAACAAAGCATTCTAACTTGGATAAATAAGGTTGAAGAGTGTGCCGAAATTTATAGCTGGAACGAAAAGGAGATAAACCATTATTCCCTCCCTAAGCTTTGTGGTGTTGCCAAGTCTTGGTATCAAGGTCTACCTTCTTTATTATACAGTTGGTCGGAATGGAAGAAAAAGCTCTTGGATTCCTTTCCCAGTCGGGAGGACTACGCAGAGCTCCTGACAGAGATGTTAGGTAAAAGGGTACGTTACGGGGAATCGCTAGAACAATATTATTATTCAAAAATTAACCTTTTAAACCGGTGTAGGATAAAGGGTAGGCAAGCAGTGGATTGTCTGCACAGGCTGCACAGTTTACGGAACTGGAACAAATTCTTAAATATTATCGAACAGTAAAGGTTGGAAATAACAGGGATAGCGTCACTGATAACTTTAGGAAAAATAAAAATGAAAAGACTGTGACTTTTAACAGTAGGTCGAGCAATTTTAAATCAAATAGCAACAATTCAAATATTCGATGCTTCAATTGCAATCAGTTAGGACATCCTAGCTTTAAATGTGAACGGCCATTAGTAAAGTGTACTCATTGTGATAAAATAGGACACCAGTCGTCAAATTGCTATAGGAATAAAATAAATGATATTTCGAATAAGACTATTGCAGACAAAAATGAAAAATCTGTGGCCGAAGTAAGCCTCCCTGACAAGTCCAATAATAAATACATAATGGATATAATGGTGGTCAATAAAACTTTTGAATGCCATTTAGACTTAGTAGCCAATGCTCATTAATAAGAGAGACAGAAGCAAAATCATTGAATACTAATATAATTACAGATATTGAGATGCCAGTGCTTAGGGGCATTTGTGCCAATTTTATTCGACCTCTAGGGCTAATAGTTGCGAAGGTAGAAGTGCAAGGTATTAAGGAAAATGTAGAAATGTATGTAGTTGAGGACTATATGTTAACCTGTACTTCTAGGGCACTCTTTCACGGAAAAACCGGAAATTGTTATAACAAAAACCCCAGATGAGATTATAATACAAAAACTTCATAACAACAACAAAATCCATTTAGTTGCAAGCTGCCTAACTAAGATTCCCTCTAATAGCTTGCGGCCCGTATTAGTCTGTTGTGACTCTTTAAATTCTGGCAATGTATATGTTAACGGTTCCATCCGAGGAGCAGTAGATAATGAGTACTATTTACTACCAGGAGAATATAGTGTTTCAAATAAATGTTGTGCATTAGTAATACTTAATGTTTCTGATAACGAACTAATCATAGAAAAGGGTGATCTAATAACAAGGGCAATACAAATCAATAAAGTTTCTTATGCATTATCAGTTACGCTAAGTACGACTGAAGTAGAGGACTCAATAGCTTGTAATCCGGAACTGACAGTTGTACAACGATTAAAACTCCAGAAGATATTATCGGATTATAAAGACTGTTTCTCTACTAGTCTTAAAGATTTAGGATACACTGATGTTACAGAAATGAAAATCGATCTTGATGATTCCGAACCCGTTGTGTATAGGCCGTACCGTATGTCTTACCCGGAAAGATGTTTAGTGCGAGAAATGGTCCAGGAGATGGTCAATAGTAATATTGTAAGGGAGTCCTCCTCACCGTATGCAAGTCCTATAGTCTTAGTAAAGAAGAAAACGGGTGAAAAGAGGTTGTGTGTAGATTACCGCGCTTTAAACCGTAAAACTAAAAAGGATCATTATCCTCTGCCCCGTATAGAAGATCAATTAGACTTACTGTCGGGAAACACTATGTTTATTACATTAGATTTAGCTTCCGGATATTATCAGATCTCTATAGAAGAGTGCTCTCGATCGAAGACTGCATTCGTTACCCCGGATGGTCAATTTGAATTTAACCAAATGCCATTCGGACTAGTTAATGCTCCATCAGTCTTTCAAAGGACTATAAATTAAATACTATCTGACGCTAAAATAAAATATGCTCTAGTTTACATGGACGATATCCTGATTCCCTGTAAAAG